CCCCAAAACCCCAAAACCCCAAAACCCCGCTACAGTGTAATAAAGTTCTAATCTAAAAATATTGATCAATTAATTAAATTAAGAATAATGGAATCGTAACCTATTTAGAGGAAAAATACAACAGGATCATAGATCTACCTTATAAGACACGGAGAAAGAGCTGATTAGGTAGAAAATAATAATAAATTGATAGAGTTCGACCATGATACTCCTTTAACTGACAATGGTTTTATTTAAGCTTAAAAGACTGGTCTATACTTGAGAAGTATAATAGCAAAAGAGTAAGAAGAGAACAGACCATTTGACTAAATAATCATTGAATCTTCTCCATTCTTAAGATGCTTGCAAACAGCTTAAGGAATAGCTTCCTAAATAGATATTTGTGATATAAAAGTTAACTTAGGCTATAGAGAATGGCTGTCTTAGTAATTATTCGAATATAATCCTATGGGGCATTTGTTTATAGACCAAAAGAGTAAAGCAGAATTATCCAATGAATTCAAGGGACTTAATATAATCATTCCAGAGGATTATTTAGCCGACAAAGATAGAGCAATAGTACTAATGAAGTTTCCAGAAGCAATGAGTTAGGCGAGAGAAAGATGTATAGATCAAACTGAGATCCTCATAGAATAATACAGATAAGATACTGAATAAAGAATCATGCATATTATCATCAGCCATGGACCTTTAGTTTAAGAATTTGGATTATATAATGGAGGAAAGAATAACTGGTATCTATACTGCCAGGTCTCAGCTATTGAATTATGTAATGATGGGAATGGGAGAAAACTTTTATACGATAACGAAATATTTTATGAAGAAAATGAAATAGTTGCAGACGAACAAGATCCTATTAAGGTATTAGAAGAACCTGATTCTGAAAATAATATTCGTGATATGGATGAAGATTTCGCTTGAGAAAATTATAATTAAGTTTTTTCTTTATTTAAAGCATTATTAATAACAGCCTAAAAGCATCCTTAGAAATTATTTAAGCAACTAATTTATCTAAATTTACAGGAGTTTAACTCTATTTACATTTCTATTTTCAAAAATTATTTATTTTTTCAATCTAATCTTAAAATTAGTACATGCGGGGTTTTGGGGTTTTGGGGTTTTGGGG